CCCCCCCCCCCCCCCCACCCACAATTTAAATTTTGAAAAATGCATAATTTTCTTGACCAATTTTTTTATGTGTTAGCATAAATAATTGTGGTAATGCTTAAAATATCCTTACGAATTTCCTTCCATCTTATGGTTGTTTTAATGATAGTATGATACCTAAAATACAATTTTAACACTTACAACAAAATCAACAACACGGTATTATTTATACAGTTTTAATGCATTTTACTGTTGATGTAATGGGGAATATGTGATTGAAAAAGAAGAAAAATTTATTGATGTGATGGAAAATATTATTTTATTGAAGAATGTGGTAAAAATGAGTAGAATAATGAGAATGAAAAAAAAAAAAAGAAGTGCTACATGTACATAAATCTATACATAATGGTATCCATAATTACACGTGGCACTGGATTCAACCATTAATTGAAATCTCACACTTTCACATCGACAACATGATTTTGTTCACATCACATTATGGACACTATTATGTACATGTAGATTTTTCCAAAAAATAATGTGTCTCAAACATGGGCAATGTGTAATATCTAAAATATCATTTTACCGCTTTCAACTAATTAAAAACAAATTATTATTTATCCTATTGATTCTTCAAGAATGCATCAGTAGATAATCTGATTCGAGATACTCAAAATGCAGTTTATTTCACATTCTCCAATAAAAAGACGAAATAGTATTCTAATACAAACTAAATACTAAACATTTAATTTTGGCTGTAAACATAGTTCCTAAAAGTATTTTAAATGTTACCACTATATTTTATGCTAACACGTGAAAAAATTGTGGTAAAAAAAGGGTATGCGTTATTCAAAAATTCAAATCAAGGAAGGCTTATCACTTTTGAATAGGAGGCTTATCATAGACTTCTAAAAAAGTATGCGTTATCCCAACTTGAAATGAGAGGGTTTAGTATAATATTTGAAAATGAAAAGGATTTCTCTGAAATTGTTATAAATCGTCGGAAAAGAACTTGACATAAAGAAAATTTGCTATATCAAATGCCATCGGATTTTATGTCTATCTCAGTCAACTCTAATCAGAATATTTTTTTTTTTTGAATAAAAGAATAAATAAATAAACCAAAGCTCCATCTCAGTTTGAATTGCATATTCCCTGCAAAGAATTCGTCTGACTTCAAAATTTTTTATTAAGACTCGTCATTTTCAATTAATAAAACAAAATACAGCGCATATCTGAGCCCCTTTTTTTGGCAAAGAATGCATTTTATAATAAAATGATAAAGAATGTGTGATTAAAAATAACTAAAAGTTTTGAGTTTGCGTTTTCTTATTATGTTATTGAAAAATGTATAGTTGAAAAGAAGAGAAAAAAATATATTTTAAAAATAATGAAAATGTACATAATAATTCACTCAAAGCACGTCAAGACTAAATATTGCAATTCAAGAATCAACAAAACAGTTTAAAATTAAGCCCCTATTTGGTTTGAATTAAAATTCAATTAAAATCTCAAATCAAAATCAACAATTAATTTTATCCACACATTTCATTAATTTTTATCAAAATTTACTAAAATTCTAATTTTAGAGCATTGCTAGGGGTACATCACCCCATACATAAGGGTCTACACCCCTCTCACATGGGGGGGGACCCGCTCGAATAAAAAAAATATTATTTCAATGGGTCCCACCCCTCATGTGAGGGGGGTGGGGGGGGTGTAAACCCTTTTGTACAATTCTTGATGTACAATTAGAATAATTCTTAGAGCTAACTCTAAATCAATATCTTGATTAACGTTAAACTTGTGGACAATATGAATTGGGCAAGACACCTTAAAAAACTCCATTCTCAAGATAACGAAAATGAATACCTCTAAGAACTCATGATTCATGTTCAGTTTGTGTCACCTCCAACTAGTTATGCGCGCCCCAACCCCAAAACACGGGCAAGGGCATGACGCGCATAGTCCAGTAGATTCATAGGAAAAGAGAGAGATTCGCCACGTTGAACTTTCTTCCATCATATTTGTATATACTACAGGAATGTCATGTAGATCCATTCACTTACTACATTCAGGAAATCTCTAACCTGAACAGAAAGGTTCGAATGCTATAATACCTCTTGAGAGGTTCTCTTCCACTCTTTGACACATGCGCATACAAAGAATTATGCCGATCCAAATTGCCAGACTAACCCTTGTTATAGCTATAACCACTATACGATCTTTAATAACTCCCCTTCAATACAGCAAGGTAACAAGGCAAGTTTGCTCTTTGAATTGCATGCTGGCATTTGAGAGATGCACTTTCCTTCTAGGATACTAGAGCATTTCAAGCTGTTGAGATAGCTACTGGCTTTCCTCGACCCATGGAGAATCCCTTGGTACCATCTGGCATGCGAGGGACAGGAGATGCTTTGGCTATAGTCAGCTTCTCAGCATAGAACTCTGGAGATCCCAAGAGACTTCCTCCATTGATCTGATGATGCTGAGGTCGCCCCCGCCCCTTGCCCTTCCCACTGCCATTGCTGGTGATAAAATTGTGTGCTTTCGTATGTGAATTATTGTTGGCATTATCCTCCCACTGTCCAAGGAAAAAAATTATCAGTACTCAAATCTCAGCATGGATGAAAGGAAAGCAATTATGTCCAAGCATTTCAGATGAACATCTAGACAAGTTATAGTGTTCCACGTGGAAGTCCAAGTTCTTTTAATCAGTAATCAGCATACTTTTTCATTTTTGTGTACCAAACAACAAATTTGGAAGGCATTACACACTGGAAAGCCATTTTGGGCAGGAAGCCTGGAATCAAAGCCTTAAAATTCAGATACAACTTATCAACTTGTCCAAGGGCCAGTTGGGCAGAAATGGAACTCACTACTAGAAATATAAATTTTCAGACAAATTCAAATACATTTGCCTATTACATTTGTTAAATTTACATTTTTGAAGATTATTGCATTTGAGCCATAACTTCTTAAAGATAACGAGTGAGATTTACAAAAATTGGGCAGAAGAGCAACCCCGTGTTTATAATTATTCGTATGTATTCTAAAAACTCATGTCGATTTCTGCCAAATAAATAGCCTTCGAGCAAGTCTTTTGTTCTTAAATTCATTTTCTCTTACCAAAAAGTAAGACAAATAAGGGCACGATGACAGGAATGTGCCCTTCATATATGATATATATGTCAACCGGGTCATCCCATTCACTTTCCAACAGAGAGAAATAAATAACAATAAGAACAGGAATCCCAATGTCTCTTACTTGATACTCATACGGCTGAGCCTTTAACTGCTGCAATGGATCCTCTAAATGTTTTTCCTTGAACCGCTGACCCTCTGGCACAACTGCCTCATCTATCTCACCATTGGACTGACCATCATGAACCTTCTGTGCTCGCACTTGAGCAGATTTCACCTGTGTAATGAAGTAGTAGTGAAGATATTAATATAAGACAAATTCATGGACCAAAAATCTAACATAGGTCATGAAACAACAAAGCCTTAACTGTACTTTAACCATGTTCACTTCCCCTACCTTCCCTTTAAAGGCATTGCATAAATATCACTCCAGAGGCACAAAAAGCGAGAGGAAAATGACTAGTCTTGGACATCAACATCTAAACTATTAAAACTATGAATCATAAGATTAAAACTATAGGTTTCTTGTAGCCTTGTTCTCAATATTTAAATACTCATCTACAGCTATGAATCAAGCTCCATTTTCATTTTTCCTAATAAAACATCCATGAAAGTTCAATTGGCAAGTGATGAACCAAGTAGCATTTGACTTGTGAAACCATATCAGTAATGCAGCGGTAGGATTTCTTCTCGTAAGTATATAAATTTTGCCCTCAGAAAATAAATAGACAAAACAAACAAAATTGTTTGGTACATACTACATTCTTTATCAGCAAACGGACTTTTAGACTGTTCCTCCAATTGCCCTCATCATTTAGTTCCACGACCTGTAAAGAGCAAGCACAGATTACTGATTGTAAAGAAGCCAAATTGAGCTGACTTAAGAAGTTTCCAGGGGTGGGAACATGAGTTAAGGGTAAGAATCACATACTGCTTTCTCTGCTAGCTTGACAGATTCATACTCGACAAATGCATGCAACTACATGAAAATATCAATTGCTAGCTTGACAGATTCATACTCGACAAATGAATGAAACTACATGAAAATATCAAATTCAGAGGATAAGGTCGTGATCTTGCCAAAAATGAATACAGACAAGCAGAATAAAAGGCATCCTGATAATGATAATTATTCAATATATTTCCAGAAAACCGAATCCTGCTTGTAGTCAAAGTCTACAAAGTAATTTCTTGGCACCAAATCCAGCATTTCAATATGTGTTTTTCGTTTTGGGTCCGTAATTAGTAAATCAGTCATGTTTGCATTAGTTAAACGGCATGTCAAAGTTCGATTGCATGCCAATTGTAATTCCCTTACTGATTTTATGGATTTTGGGAATCTGCATGTAGATTCTCTCATCAAGAAACATGTAAAGAGATCAGACTAATTATATAAAAATGGAAAATACAAAAGGACCTATATTCCATTTACCCAAATCATGTGTAAAAGAAGAATAACTCACTCTCTATATTGCCAAAGTCGTTGTCTCCTTCCTTTCGCCTGAGCCTACTTTCTGTATCATGAACACGTCTCTTCTCATCCACAACCCACACACTAAAGGGAAAAGAAAACTGATAGGAACACCCATATGATTATTTATCTTTCAGTATATTTTACTTTCATAGGGTGTCTCGACTTCTAAGGAAGTTTCAATAAGATTTTAAAAGAGGTGTTGACCTTTCCCTTTATTGTTTTGACGTTCTTATTTCCTATGTGCAGGCACCAAGTCACCTATGGCTCATGTCCTTTTTTTGAGTCTAAGATGGAAATTCACATCTTAGAAAAGTTAAATGCCAGGGAACATGTCAAATGATAAACCTAGACATTCATGGGGGCTATTTGAGAAATTCTGTTCACTAACTTTAAAATACACTAGAACAAATGACTCCATACAAGTCATAGGACATGCACTAAACACTCTCTTTTCCTGAAGACCACCACCTTAAGCGGTCATGATCTCCTTTCAAGAAATTTATTGTGCTGACATGCCAAGATAACAACATGAACAGATGCAGTTTAAATCGCCTGCTTTGGTCATGTCAAGAGATAAGCCAACTATCCATCCCCTAAACAAACACTGTGCATCATTGAGAGCTAAAGGATGGAGGATGGTAGAGATGGAGGAGATTGCGTGGCGCCAAAAATCTAGGGTTACATGGCTGAAAGAAGGGGACAAATGTACCAAGTTCTTTCATAGGATTGCGAATTCGAACAGGCGTAATAATTCTATCTCGCTGCTGGAGGTAGATGGGATTACTTATTGTGGATTTCGTGACTGGATAAGTGTATTGAACTGGACTGCGCAAGAGAGTCCGGAGGTTACCGTTGAATTCAAAACAGTGCAATGGAGGGCCAGACATCTGTTCTATTCTTTTTGTCCTTTTCTTTTTTAGGGTTACTACTTTTTGGCCCAATGGGTTATTTTCAATAATTGACATTGAGCCTTGCAGTTAATTGTTTAGATAATCACCCATTTTCTATCATCATCGCGCTTTAATGACTAAACTTCAAAGTGCTTTGCACATTTGCACTCCATCCACCACCTTACAAAATCTATTATTTTATTCGTTGATGTGGCTAACAAAAGTCCCATTTGACAAGTTACGATCGTTAAAAAAATTACAACTTAACCAAATCATTGTCTCATTATTCATTCAACTTACACTTGGTCATAGTTTACTCATCAAATTTCAAAATTCTTCTCAATGATCACTCATTTTTGATATGTTGCACTCCATCAATCATCCTTCATATTTCGTTCCCTTCGTTGCAAATGCATTGTACGAAAATCTCACAAGGTAAATTACAATAGTTAAAAAAAGTTACAATTCAACCAAGCCATCAACTTATTGAAATCACCATATGTGAAATGCGATTTCCACGACCCCATAAACTTCTTTAAAACTCAACAAAGCGTACCTCGTTTCAGTTATAAAAAATCCTAGCCCTCAATTCACTCATCTCACCCACATACAGCTAAATTGTATAATAAGATAGAGCTGATTGTTGACAAGGACGTGAGAAACTACTACTTATACAACTCTATCATTCAATTGTACCATCTGCTTGACGTCTCTCTAATCTCAATCTTCTATATTTGCAAGCGTGTATCCAACTATTTGAGGAAAGAAATGTTATTGAACTCCAATGTTTGGTGATGTCTGGAATACCTTATGGGTCGTATTCATGTTTGTTGTTCTTCATTCATCAATTTAGCCAGAGTTCAATGACATTTCATTTCTCAAATAGTTGGATACACATCTGCAAAAATGGAAGGTTAAACGTCGAGCAGATGATACAATTGGGGATAGAACTCTTTATAAGTAGTAGCTTCTCGTATCATTATCAACAATCGGTTCTACCTTATTACACTATTTAGCTATACGTGGAGGACTGGGATTTTGTAGGGAAGAAATTGGGGATACTTTATTGGATTTTAAAGAAGTTTATGAGACCATAGAAGTCACGTGTTTCATATATGGTGACTTAGATGAGTTGATGGTTTGGCTAAATTGTAATTTTTTTAACGATTGTAACTTGTCACTTGAGATTTCCGCGCAATACATTAGCAAGGAAGAGAACAAAATATGGTGGATGATGGATGTAATACAACATCTCAAACACGAGTGACCATTGTGAAGCATTTTGAAATTTGATGAGTAAATTGTGACGAAGTGTAAGTTGAGTGAGTAATGAAACACTGGTTTGACAGAGTTATAATTTTTTAACGATCGTAACTTGCCACATGAACTTTTTGTTAGCAACGTCAGTGAATAAAATAATGAATTTTTGAGGATGATGGAGTACAAACGGACAAAGTTCAGTGAGCACTATAAATCACTTAAAAATTTAATGAGTAAATTGACCATGATATAAATTGGATGATTGTTGAAACAATTAACTTGAGCTTTGCACTCAGTATCACTTGGCCACTGCAAATTATAATTGAACTTTACAAAATGTTTTCTTAAAACATATATTATGGATGGCAACTAGGTGAAGAATCCCCGATCTCGACAAGGATTCCTTGCTTAATCTACTTCGTGGGGACGGGGATAGGGCAAAGAAATTTTCGCCGAGTCATGAATGGGGTCAAAATTTCCATCCCAAAAACCGTCCCAGACCTATCCCGTTTAACTTTTCACATAGTAAAAACAATTTTTATCAAGCACGTTATTTTTAAAACAATAACAACAACAATAATAAATAAAGGTTAATCGAGTATTGAAAGTTTCCACCCCACCCCACCCCACCCCATCTCGTCCAATCCCCTCTCCGGCATAAGGGGGATGGGGTTGGGAATGGGAAATTCCCATTAATAAAACAAAGAATGCATATCTGAACTTTAAAACTTTTTATTAAGACTTCTCACTTTCAATTAATAAAACAAAATATAGCTCATATCTGAACCCCTTTCTTTTTTGGGCAAAGAATGCATTTTAGAATAGATTGATAAAAAATGTGTGATTAAAAATAAGGAAAAGTTTTGAGTTTAAATTTGCGTTTATTATTATGTTATTGAAAAATGTATGGTTGAAAAAAAGAGAAAAAATATATTTTAAAAATAATGAGAATGTACATAATAATCCACTCAAAGCACGTCAAGACTAAATATTGCAATTCAAGAATCAACAAAACAGTTTAAAATTAAGCCCCTATTTGGTTTGAATTAAAATTCAATTAAAATCTCGAATCAAAGTCAACAATTAATTTTAATCACACATTTCATCAATTTTTATCAAAATTTACTAAAAATCTAATTTTAATACCTACCAAATAGGGGATAAATAGAAGTTGTTTATTGACATATTGATATGGCTTTTCACACTAATTAGAGCCAACTCTAATCAATATCTTGATTAAGGTTAAACTTCTGGACAATATGAATTGGGCAAGACACCTTAAAAAACTCCATTCTCAAGATAACGAAAATGAATACCTCTAAGAACTCATGATTCAGTTTGTGTCACCTCCAACTAGTTATGCGCGCCCCAACCCCAAAACACGGGCAAGGGCATGACGCGCATAGTCCTGTAGATTCATAGAAAAAGATAGAGATTCGCCACGTTGAACTTTCTTCGATCATATTTGTATATACTATAGGAATGTCATGTAGATCCATTCACTTACTACATTCAGGAAATCTCTAACCTGAACAGAAAGGTTCGAATGCTATAATACCTCTTGAGAGGTTCTCTTCCACCCTTGACACATGCGCATACAAAGAAATATGCCGATCCATATTGCCAGACTAACCCTTGTTATAGCTATAACCACCATACGATCTTTAATAACTCCCCTTCAATACAGCAAGGTAACAAGGCAAGTTTGCTCTTTGAATTGCATGCTGGCATTTGAGAGATGCACTTTCCTTTTAGGATACTAGAGCATTTCAAGCTGTTGAGATAGCTACTGGCTTTCCTCGACCCATGGAGAATCCCTTGGTACCATCTGGCATGCGAGGGACAGGAGATGCTTTGGCTATAGTCAGCTTCTCGGCATAGATAGAAGCATCCAACTCTGGAGATCCCAAGAGACTTCCTCCATTGATCTGATGATGCTGAGGTCGCCCCCGCCCCTTGCCCTTCCCACTGCCATTGCTGGTGACAAAATTGTGTGCTTTCCTATGTGAATTATTGTTGGCGTTATCCTCCCACTGTCCAAGGAAAAAAATTATCAGTACTCAAATCTCAGCATGGATGAAAGGAAAGCAATTATGTCCAAGCATTTCAGATGAACATCTAGTCAAGTTATAGTGTTCCACGTGGAAGTCCAAGTTATTTTAATCAGTAATCAGCATACTTTTTCATTTTTGTGTACTGAACAACAAATTTGGAAGGCATTACACACTGGAAAGCCATTTTGGGCAGGAAGCCTGGAATCAAAGTGGTAAAATTCAGATACAACTTATCAACTTGTCCAAGGGCCCGTTGGGCAGAAATGGAACTCACTATTAGAAATATAAATTTTCAGACAAATTCAAATACATTTGCCTATTACATTTGTTAAATTTACATTTTTGAAGATTATTACATTTGAGCTATAACTTCTTAAAGATAACGAGTGAGATTTACAAAAATTGGGCAGAGGAGCAACCCCGTGTTTATAATTATTCGTATGTATTCTAAAAACTCATGTCGATTTCTGCCAAATAAATAGCCTTTGAGCAAGTCTTTTGTTCTTAAATTCATTTTCTCTTACCAAAAAGTAAGACAGATAGGGACACGATGACAGGAATGTGCCCTTCATATATTATATATATGTCAACCGGGTCATCCCATTCACTTTCCAACAGAGAGAAATAAATAACAATAAGAACAGGAATCCCAATGTCTCTTACTTGATACTCGTACGGCTGAGCATTTAACTGCTGCAATGGATCCTCTAAATGTTTTTCCTTGAACCGCTTTCCCTCTAGCACAACTGCCTCATCTATCTCACCATTGGACTGACCATCATGAACCTTCTTTGCTCGCACTTGAGCAGATTTCACCTGCGTAATGAAGTAGTAGTGAAGATATTAATATAAGACAAATTCATGGACCAAAAATCTTACATAGGTCATGAAACAACAAAGCCTTAACTGTACTTTAACCATGTTCACTTCCCCTACCTTCCCTTTAAAGGCATTGCATAAATATCACTCCAGAGGCACAAAAAGCGAGACGAAAATGACTAGTCTTGTACATCAACATCTAAACTATTAAAACTATGAATCATAAGATTAAAACTATAGGTTTCTTGTAGCCTTGTTCTCAATATTTAAATACTTATCTACAGCTAATCAAGCTCCATTTTCATTTTTCCTAATAAAACATCCATGAAAGTTCAATTGGCAGGTGATGAACCAAGTAGCATTTGACTTGTGAAACCATATCAGTAATGCAGCGGTAGGATTTCTTCTCGTAAGTATAAAAATTTTGCCCTCAGAAAATAAATAGACAAAACAAACAAAATTGTTTGGTACATACTGCATTCTTTATCAGCAAACGGACTTTGAGACTGTTCCTCCAATTGCCCTCATCATTTAGTTCCACGACCTGTAAAGAGCAAGCACAGATTCCTGATTGTAAAGAAGCCAAATTGAGCTGACTTAAGAAGTTTCCAGGGGTGGGAACATGAGTTAAGGGTAAGAATCACATACTGCTTTCTCTGCTAGCTTGACAGATTCATACTCGACAAACGCATGCAACTACATGAAAATATCAAATTCAGAGGATAAGGTCGTGATCTTGCCAAAAATGAATACAGACAAGCAGAATAAAAGGCATCCTGATAATGATAATTATTCAATATATTTCCAGAAAACCGAATCCTGCTTGTAGTCAAAGTCTACAAAGTAATTTCTTGGCACCAAATCCAGCATTTCAATATGTGTTTTTCGTTTTGGGTCCGTAATTAGTAAATCAGTCATGTTTGCATTAGTTAAACGGCATGTCAAAGTTCGATTGCATGCCAATTTGTAATTCCCTTACCGATTTTATGGATTTTGGGAATCTGTATGTAGATTCTCTCATCAAGAAACATGTAAAGAGATCAGACTAATTATATAAAAATGGAAAATACAAAAAGACCTATATTCCATTTACCCAAATCATGTGTAAAAGAAGAATAACTCACTCTCTATATTGCCAAAGTCGTTGTCTCCTTCCTTTCGCCTGAGCCTACTTTCTGTATCATGAACACGTCTCTTCTCATCCACAACCCACACACTAAAGGGAAAAGAAAACTGATAGGAACACCCATATGATTATTTATCTTTCAGTATATTTTACTTTCATAGGGTGTCTCGACTTCTAAGGAAGTTTCAATAAGATTTTAAAAGAGGTTGACCTTTCCCTTTATTGTTTTGACGTTCTTATTTCCTATGTGCAGGCACCAAGTCACCTATGGCTCATGTCCTTTTTTTGAGTCTAAGATAGAAATTCACATCTTAGAAAAGTTAAATGCCAGGGAACATGTCAAATGATAAACCTAGACATTCATGGGGGCTATTTGAGAAATTCTGTTCACTAACTTAAAAATACACTAGAACAAATGACTCCATACAAGTCATAGGACATGCACTAAACACTCTCTTTTCCTGAAGACCACCACCTTAAGCGATCATGATCTCCTTTCAAGAAATTTATTGTGCTGACATGCCAAGATAACAACAGGAACAGATGCAGTTTAAATCGCCTGCTTTGGTCATGTCAAGAGATAAGCCAACTATCCATCCCCTAAACAAACACTGTGCATCATTGAGAGCTAAAGGAGGGGAAAAGTCACAGGATAAGAGAGCAGGTATAGTACAGTTGATTAACAATTAGTTCATACGATTAGGTAAGAATAAATAAATTTCACCTTGCATATATTATAATGGCATTCCAAATTACAAATAAATAGAGTAACAAGGTTTGTCTGCCAGAAATCCTAAAACCAAAACTGAATCAGATGATTAAGCTAAGAAGTAAAGAATCGGAGGAAGAAAGGATGCAATTGAATCTGTTGGAGGAAGCAATAGACGGAATGAGTCTTCTCTATTGAAGAGGGGAATTTTATGACAAGAAATAGTTACAAAACTTTATACCTTGTTCCTGAAATGCACTGCATTCACTTTCGCAGTTCTAGGTGATGATGATGATGCTTCACCATCGAAATTCTGAGGCAGACAAGTACGAATTGACTTCACACTGGTAGAACAGTTCAAAAATATAAGGGAAAAATCACAAATACTTATGAAGAAACATTCCTGTACAAAATCTGATAATCAATGAAGGACGAAGAAAGTGTACCTTCCCACGGAGGAGAAAATCTTCATGAGGTTCTGGTGGCAATGGTCCTCAGGTAAATTTTCAGCAATAACTATATGAGACTATAGACATAGAGAAGATACAGGTCAAAGGCAAAGGTTGGGCAACAAGAAAAATTTACTCCATTAAGGAAACATGTAATTTTCAATTAACCAACAATAAATGGAGAAGGTCTCAGAGTTACATTCAGTAAAAAAATTGTATATACACATATTTTGGACATGGCAACAATTGAACAAGGTCCACCTGACACGACAAAAGAATAAAATTATCTGAAGTATGACTTACTTGTAGCTCTTCCATGTCAGAGTCAGTCAACGGATGTTGGCGTCTGACCTTTTTGCCATCTTCACTAACCACCTAGAGAACAGAAAAATCAACCACAAATTAAAAATATCATAAACTGGAAAGAAAGTCAAATAGACAAAGTGATGGCCGCAGGACCACTGTACAGTCAGATGATATATTGCAGTATGGTGAAACTTTTCCAGAATATGCAAACTTACCAACTTTTTTGAGCTCCGCAAAATACTAGAAAGTTGGGAAACACCACTGATAACGTTTTTTATCTTCTTAAATGATGCGACAACAGATAGAGGCACTACATGATAGGAAGGTAGGAAAACAGTTGAAATTCATTTCAAAATGGTAATTGAGAGGCAACTATCATATTGGATCAAAATAAACAATCAAAACAAGGTCTCTTCAAAAATAATTTCCATAACAGGCATTACCAATCTTTACAATGAGCTGTTAGCTATGATGCATGAGCAACTGGAGAATTATTGATGGGAACTAAAACCTGGGTTTACTTCGACACCGGGTTGAAGTTCTTACCTTCTTGAGACTTCATGGACCAAGATTTGCTTTTATTATATGGTCAACACTTGTTCACTAAAGGCCTAGAACCAGAGAAAGGATCATGTATTCCCTTGGTCCACGACTATTGACTCTATTTTACTTGTTTTTCCCATGCAAAGGTTTCAAGGCAAATAAAGGCAAAGCCCTTGTTGAAAAGTTGATAAAAGTTGTGTTGGATCCCATTAAATGTGTGGTTCAAACTAATTGTTGACTTTGATCTCAACTTTTTAAGCTATCCTAAACAATCATTTAGCCGCTCAGTGTATATGAAAGGTAACACCAGGAATAAAGTGATAAATCATTCATCAATGAACCAGCACTCAGCCTCCAACTATTTCCTTCTCCTTCCCCTGCCCCGCAGCTAAAAAAGTAAAAATAAAAATAAAGAAGAAAAAAAAAGTGCACAAAAAAGTTAAAAAAAAAAATAATAAAAAAGATCCCCTGGTCAATCAAAATCACTTCTAAAAAATCAAAGAGAATGGATAAAGTTTTTATCAAGAAAGGTCATTCACCTAAAGTTTGATAATCTCTCTTCAATAAATCGATTTAGTAAAAATATATTTTCTTGAAAACAAATATGAAGATGGTTACAGTCTATGAAGCACCGACATGCAATTTTTTGGAAAATTTCCGACGCGACACATTGCCGATACGTTGTTTTAGTCATTAACTATAAAGGTAAATTGCTTATTCAGGGTCCATTGCTTTATTCTCTCTATTTATGGGTCAATTGCATTTAATAGGTAAAACCGTGCCTGAACTTTCAAAAAAAAAAAACAAAAGGACTTGTTTGGCAAGTTAAAAAAAAGGAAAGTGTTTTCCTCTTCTAGGGTTTAGAACCCCTCTCATGCAGCTGATGCCATCTCTCCCACACCGGGTGTTGAAATAGCCCATCCCTGTCGCCCGCGACAAAACAGGTAGTTATCCATTTTTTTAATTTTTTCTTTAATTTTAAAAGCTCAAGGAATGACGTACCATAGAGAAGGTAAGATTTTCGTAAGCAGTTGATATGAGAAAGTTATGAGATTAAATAGTGCAGGCGAAAAGGATCGTGAAAATAAACATTGTTATGCAAACCTTACCATAGCCATCAGGATCCTTTATCATGAACCCAAATAAATGATCGGTGGTAGCCAGATTGATATCACTGAAATAAAACTCCACCTGCAAAACATAAAGGTGTCTAAATTAGCATGTTCTCAAAAACAGAAAGCAATGCAGCATTTTCTAATGTTGGAAAAGGCAACAAGGAATTTCATAAGTACAAGTATTAAGCAAAAGCAAAATTACGAGAGGTACAAATACAAAGGAATTGATTTTATATATTTAAATAAACAAATAGACTGAAATGGTAAGTACTACAAACCAGCCAAATGCAAAGTCAACAACGGTAGGTGGATCTTTATTATGTTGCATTGGTACAAAAAGAATTGTGATCATGGCAGGAAATGGCTATATCTGAAGTAAGCTAGATAAAATAGCTTTATATAGCAAATGAATCAGAAACTTGTTCGTGCCTATTAATCATTTCTCCATCATGTTTTTGAAGGCAGAACATCCTTGTTTACAGAGAAATAACTGTGTCATAACTTATGAAGCACTTGATATTACAATAGGCGGAATATGTCCCAAGCTTCTTTCTTGTAATGAAGTTATGGCAGGGTTTGATACTTCAGCTATTCATGTCGTCTCAGAAAATAGACATACACACAGAAGCGAACCATACAAATGCTAATTTGTATAATAACCATAATCAGATCTGTCGCCAAAACTCATTAAGTCACATCACACAAAACAAATTACTGCACAAAGGTATCACAAATATCCATCATTTATTCATTTTGTACAGATAAATTAAAACCAAATTACCCTAACCAAGATATACCATATTTTCCACTATCAAATCGTAACAAACCCAAACTCAGTAATAATTATCAGTCAAAATCACAACGGTAGATCAACATATTAGAAATGCAATATTTAAATGGATTATATTTTCCACTGATGAATTGTAACAAACCCAAACTCAATAATAATTATCAGTCAAAATCACAACGGTAGACCAACATATTACAAAAGCAATATTTAAACGTAATCCATAATATTTCGTCGGCAAATGATCCAAATTCAGCAATAATAAACACTAAACATGTCACTGAGTCACTGGTTAAATTCAAGGATGCATAAACACTAAACATGTCACTGAGTCACTGGTTAAATTCAAGGGTGCAGTAACTAGGTATGAATACAAAAACACAGAAACCCTAATGAGGACTTATCTCTACTGTTTCAAGTAAAATCCAAGGTTTCACAATTACAATGCTTAAAATAAAACAATCAATAAACAACCAAAGAAACGCAAATAATCAAAACGTGAAGCTATATATGATATATTTATCTCCAACCCACATAAATCAACTATAAAAACGTTTAGAATCACAATAAACCGAGTACGTGTCAAACAATGTTATAATCGATTAGTCAAAAACGCAATACATAATATAAAACACTTAAAAACTTGCCTGACTGAGAATTTTCTGCTGAGCATCTGGCATTCCGTTTTTGATAGAAACGGTAGCACCGGCAGTATTAACGTCAGCCATTTCTGCAGATGCTGCCGGGGTTTGGATTCCGTTAACCAATTCCTTGGATGGATGTAAGTACCCATAAAACGGCATTACCCCATTTTGATAATAGTTCTGTACCGCCACTTGGCGCGACACGAACGGAGGCCTCATATAAACCCGCTGCACCACCGGCGGGGAAGGCGGCGGAGACAGCGACTGTGAATGCGAGGGTACAGAAGCCGAACGTGGGACAAACTCAGGAGCCTTAGCGTTGAGCTTACTGCTAATAGAGGCAAGGCTGAGTTGATTATTCTCCGATGATCCTAGCGTTTCGTAATCTTGCTGATCCATCAATCAATATTGATCGATCTGATTACAATCTGGTAATATACGTCCTACAATTAACTGGCTAATCTTGATTGGAGTATAATATACGGATCAAAATAGAAAAAATTGAATAGTAAATTTCTAGATTTCTTGGTCGACTCCAGAGCCCAGAAACACACTGCGTTTGTGTGAGAAGGAGAAGAGCGTCGAGAAACCGTACGTAGAGTCACACACTGGAATTCTCGGGTCTCATTATATATAGAGGGATAATTGCAGCAGCGGTCCTAACCTTTCAAAGTTTTGTAGACTTTACCCTAATATTCACTTTGTGCCAGCCACAGTCCCAAAAATATTGATATCTCATTGTTTCGTGGTTCGATCTTCATGAAATTTGGATAAGACGTTCACAGCTCATTATGCTTCAAATCCAATGGCTTATTTGTGAGAAATAGCTATGTGAACAGTATGAAATTTTTTAAGTACTATAAAACTTTTAAGTCTTCATATAAAACTTTTTGGCTTTTATCCAGCCTTAGTTATATTATCATGTTATTCTCACTTGCCCATATGCACTTCAACAATGATTTCCGGCTACCTAGATTGGAAGGGTAGTTTGCTTACTTTGTATGAGCTTTTTACACTTGATTTCCCAAGTGCACCATTTATGCCTAGCAAGTAGGGGTGTCAATTTCGCTCGTTAGCTCGGACGGCCCGTGGTCGGCTTGTGGATTGGTGGAACCGAGTTGAGGCTTGGCTGAGCCCCATTTTGGGGCGTTGGCCTGAGCCCGGGCCGGCTTGTGTCACGAGCTATTTTCAACCCGTGATGAGTCGGATCTAAAAAAAAAATTTAAAATTAAAAAATAAAACCCAGTTACAGGCAACTGCCTGATATTTAAAAAAAAAGAAAAAAATTTGTTAGTCAGCTCGATTCGACAAGGCCCGAGCCGAAAGCTTGGGTGGAACCTAAATTTTTTGGTCGACCAAAAGTTCGGTTATGACAAAAAAAAAAAAAAAAAAGTTTGGACCAATTTTACTTGAGCCAAACCTCAAGTTTCGGTTCACAAGCCAGCTCGGCTCTGCTCGGCTCGTTGATATCCCTACTCGAAGGTAGAGGGCAAGATTTGCGGAGTGTATTTCTTGATTCAACACAAACTAGGAAGAGATAATTAAGACGAAAAAATGTTTTTTTAAAAGAGTTCTCACCATTCCCATTTCTCTAAAATAATTTCATATGGTAAGGCAGGGTCAGGCACCTCACATCCACTAAGTTTTGGATTCATGAAAAGATAATGGGCATCAATAGCTAGTGCATTACAAACAATTGGTGGCGCCTACCTGTGTGCCATATGACCAGAAGGATGCAATAAGGTGAAATGTCTCTCTACGCGGGCTCGTGACCCAATTAGACCATATTTGGGAGGGTAAAAATTGTTTTCATAAAAAAATATTATTTGGCTAAAGTCAATAACTTCTTTTTTACCAAAACTTCTTTAAATTCAGCTTTTACTAAATGCTAAATCCGTAGGTAATAGAGCTTTAGAATTAACGAAATACATATTAAATAGAGAATACGTAGAGTTAGTCCGTAAACAGTAGGACTATGCAATTTGTCCCTCACCTTTATATTTTGGTGCAAAACTCCCTAACCTACCAATTTACCGCACAAACGATCATTTTAGACATTCCTACTTAGAATGTTATGGTCGTATGTGATTTTATTATGTGTTTTACGTTTTACATGGGTTGGATGAGAGGGTACTCTTTGAGGTACACATATTTTCTCGAAATCTTTGTATAGATATAATATCGAATTTTTTTTTTCATGAAATATGTGATTGAAAATGAGTTTGAGGAAAAAAAGACTTTCAAAAACTTTCTATTAAACCTCTTAAATATCACACATTCCATTCATTCATATAATACATGGATAGACAAGTCATATCGACATTTTATATATTTGTTTCGGGGTACAAACGATAGTCCGATACATTAAAAAGGAAAAAAAAAAAAAAGGAGAATCGCATATATGATGAATTATGACTTAATGTCTTGCATGTATTGTTTATTAGGTAAAACTCAATGATAGAAAATGAATCTAAAAGAAATGTACGAAAATAGAGGCAAAAATGAAGAATTTCAAAGTTCAAGAATTGATTCATACCAAAAAAAAAAAAAGGATGATTTAAGTCAGTCCCAAAAATATTGATATCTCAGTGTTTCGTGGTTTGATCTTCATGAAATTTGGATAAGACGTTCACAGCTCATTATGCTTCAAATCCAATGGTTTATTTGTGAGAAATAGCTATGTGAACAGTATGAAATTTTTAAGTACTACAAAACTTTTAAGTCCTCATATAAGACACTATGATGACCTTAAGTTAAATGACAAATTTTACTACTGAACGTTAGAGATTAACCACCGATACTCAAATAGTTATCCATGTAGAATCTTCCAACATGTCTTCAATATTTTGTTCTATAACAAAATATCCACGTGTTCATTTAACTGTCTCCACACTTTAACTTGTGAGATCAGATATTTACTTCACAAGTAAGAAGTGCTACACGCGATGTTGTATCCGTAATAACGATATACATACCTCATTATTACTTACGTCCTGAGATGATTAATATTCAATCATATATAATTTATATCTCACAATCACTTACAATTCATCTATTACAAAATTCAATAAATGGATAGTAAATTAAAGTCATTAATCAAATATTTTTACCTGTCCATTTTAAATAAAGACAGAACATTTGTTATCAAACTTTAAATCTGTGAAAAGAATGTGTTTATTTGACTGTCATAGTTGCAAATTAATGTAGTATAATGATCACCATCTCCATTTCAAGTGAATAGAACTCCTGTATTTAGGTTGCAGAAAATTTTTGCAATGTACGAAAAGATTCGAAATAAAATGTATCGTGTTGACGGCATCTTTTGAATTTTTTATTAGTGAAAATTTTGTTTTGATATTTTTAATGTAAAGAACCAGACCGGACCGTATTGGAACCGGTTGGTTCGGTTCCATATGGAATCAATAGTTCTATTTCTAAGATTCTTATTGATGCTTGTGCGGTTTAGTTCCATCTGTGATCCGGCTAGTTAGATATGGAACCAATAGTTTCATTTACAACATTCTCATTGATACTCGATTCGATTTGGTTCCATTCGGAATCGGATAGAATCGGACTGCGCCCATGCCTAATTGCAATTATATGTGCCTAAAGATTATTTCAATCTTTTGGAAGTATAATTAACTGGCTTATTTGATTATCTTTAATCGACGTAATTAAAATTAGGAACCTAACAAATGAAAATTGAAACTTTATAATTCTAATTTATTTTAATATAAAAATTCTACGTGAATATGGTGCAACTGAGTTTGAAATTTGGATGTCAAAAAGGTTTTCTTTCCTATTTTGTGGAATTGAGGATAAAATGATTTGAGTGGTTTAGGGCGAGTTTGGGTTGCGTTTCAATTCAATTTTCTATATTGAAGATCTATTTTAATATTGTTGAAAACGCGGTTGGTTTGTCCTTCTAAAAAATTGTTTCTCAAAATACAAAACTGAAAGATGATGGATTTGGTTTCAATTTTTTGATAAATTCGTTTATGAATTTATTTTAATAGAACAATTTTATGCTAAAATATTATCAAGTAATATGTACATTACAAAGTCACTTAATTATTTAATTTTTTGCTACAAAAATAAAATACATATTAATAATAAATTGAGTTTGTAAATAACCAATAACAGCTTAAACTTTTTGTTAAAAAAAAAAAAGAATTTAATTTTTTAGAATGGTAGGGCATGTTCTTTTTACAATTTTCAAGTCGTTTTCAATTTTCGATTTTTCAAAACAGTGAAAACGCGTTTTTGAAAATAAGTTAAAAGTTTACAAAGAAAACCTAAAACGACAAATTTGTCTTTTTGTGTGTTTTCAGTTATAATCAAGTCAAAATTTTTAAAACGCGTGTTGGGTGTTTTCAAAACAATTTTTCAAAATGCCAAAAAAAAAACATATTTTCAACAATCTCAAAATGGACACTCAAAACACAAAACCAAATATGAATTCAAAACACAAAAATGAAATACAAAGAGAATGATCCTTTAATTTTTTAGAATTTCTATTTTTTTAGAATTTTAGATATGTAACACGCATTATGTAAACTCTAAAAATTCACTTAATCGTGTATACATAGTCCAAGTGACAAATTAATAATACCTTATAGAGCCATGTAAATATATTTATTCGGCATGAACAAAATAATCTTATAGATGGGGACAAGCATCTCATGCAAATAGGCATAAATTGATTCTAATGGTTCACTTAGTTTTCAAAAATCCCTATAGAAATTTTAGGTCACTTAGTCGTGCATAAATAGTCGATGACATGAATGTGATATATATAGATATATTATGATTGGTCACTTAATTCCCATAGAAAATGACGCACAAGATTATGTGGACTCTTAGAGATTCATCTAAACAAGAGCTGAGTAAATCAATGCTACACAATTGAGACATTAGATATTTTTATCGACTAATCTCTACCTACAATATTCATCCAAAAAAAAAAGAGCTTTGTAAAGGGAAGTGCGAGGCCCATGAAGTTTCGCTCGTATGAAAAGAAAGGAGCACGAACATAGCAAAATTCAACTTTTTGTCGAACAATTATTTGGCTCGTCGAATAAGTAGTTCAACAACCATAACAACCCTCAAGACAATTATGTTGGGGATGAAGATTCAAGGAGAAAGCCTAGGGACCTCATATGTAGAGTATTCCAGCAAACTGTTAACGATAAAAATTGGATCAATAAATTTCTCTTACCTAACCAGGATTTTCACCTCCTAAACTCAGTAGTTTTGATGCTCAAATCGGAGCAATAGAAGAATCGCTATTTGAGAGGAAAATATTTGAATTTGCTTGCTTTTCTTCTCTTAAGGGGGAGTATTCATAGATTTGCCTGAAAACTTTGAGGTAGCTCATAAGTAATCCTGTTATAGAGCTT